CCACTTCTTCCCTCTCAGACCCACCTCTGTGCCCAGACAAGGCTGGACAAAAACAAGTCTACTCTTGGGAAGACAAACAGGAAGGCGGGGCAGTGGGAAAGTGACCAGACTTTCCAACTCAGGAAGAGAGACAGAGGACTGTCTCCTGGGTAAGGAGATGGGTAGCTGAGTCTCTGGATCTAGCACAGGTAGGGGGCAGGAAGAGGAGCTCAGGGAAATAATGATCAGCGCTGGGGCTGGGCCAGAAACGCCCTTCCCTCTGTGCAGGCCACTGGAGAGTTCTGTTCCACGTTCCTTCAACAATCAGGCAGTAGTCTAGTTACTTCCCATCAGAGGCCTCTCTCTAGTAAGAAAACCTAAGCAGTCCTATCATCTGAAGGTCTGTTTGCAAGATGGAAAAGGAAGATTAGAAGAGCCATAACCCAGGAGCCTCTTCCCAGATTAATAGAAAAACAAAGAGCAATGAAGGTAGGTGGCAGGCTCTGCCAGGACAAGCTGAAGCAGGACGGCGGCAAGATCTATGGCAGTAGACCAGTCTTCCCCAAAGTAATTCTAGAATGTCTACTTTTCCCCTGACTAAGAACTACATTCAGTGGGGTTAGGTGACAGGAGAATAAGAAAGGAAGTGGCGGAGGCTGTCAGTGGCTTCTGCACTCGTCCTTCTCCTTTACCTTGGTTTGCTGTGGGTACAGGCTCTCTCTATGTGATCCTTGCTGAATTGGAACTTGATATATAGACCTGGATGACTTCCTGCCTCAGTTCCCTAGCGCTAAGATTATAGGTGAGTGCCATACACCTATTTGTGCTTCTGCTCTTCTAAAACAAACAACCACCAAAAACCAAATCAAACCAACCAATCACCCAAACAACAACGAAACATTGGCCATGATGTGGCGGTGTGTGACTGAGCGGTGTAGCCTGAGCATATGGACACCTGAGTATCCAGGCCCAGAGCCTGAGAGGAAATCAGCAGAATTCTTATGAATTCAATTATATGGTCTTGATAAGATCTCAGAAACACCAGAGACTCCCATTCAAACTGGTTTCTAACTTCATAGTCCCAGTTACCTTGGGGAAACTACTGTCCAAATACTCCCAAATGACTTTCTAATTTTCTTTGCTTCAAAAGTCATTTAACTCAAGTTCTAACTAAGGGAGGGGTTAACCCCTTGGGCAGAGGCGCACATCTCAGAAAGATGTGTTCCTCTGCAAGTGTCCGTCTCTGCACTTGTGCCAGTGGTAGCACCAAAGTGCCTGGGTCCTCAGGTGAATGCTGCCTGCCCCCTGCAAGTCTCTGTTCACCGTGACCTGCTACCCTGAGGACACCTGCCTCATCCCTGGCTATCCGTGGGCTACCCTGGTGGGTGGTTTTGCCGCCTTCTTCTCTCCTTGAAGAGTTGGCACAGTTGTAAAATCAAGGTTCAATGGCAGTGAATTTTAATCTCGTGTCTTACTAAACAATCATGACAGTGGCCCTGACAAGCAACACACATTCTTTTTCTGTCCATGCTAGTCCAGTGATCAGGTAGCCAGGGTCTACTCATCAACCTAGTGTACGTTCATTAAAAGCCACGGCTGCATAATCAAAGTTAGAGAAAATAGTCTCAGTATGTGTAAATATGTAACATATAAACATAGCAAGTAATTTGGGGAAAATTACAAGTTTAAGATGTATGCACGTATGGTTTTGTTTTTTGAGACAGGATCATGTAGCACAGGTTGGTTCTGAACTTGCTCTGAAGGGAAAATGACCCTGAACTCCTCACGCCCTTGTTTCTGTCTCCCAAGTGCTAGGGGCATATATATGAATCATCATGTTCATTATTTTGGAGTGGGGGCAAGGGTTATACTATGTGGCCCACTCTGGCCTTTTCAGTAATCCTCCTGCCTCTGCCATGTTGGGACTAAGGTGCCACCCTGCCCAGCTAGGATTATCTAAACAGCAGTTTTTCTATCAATTTTCTTTACAGATCACGATCCATTTGTATAGGGAAATAGCAAAGCAAGAAAGGAGCAGGAGGCTAAGATGCTGTGTGGCAGGTGTCTACATCTTGGAACACCTCTCTCATTGAAAGCAAGATCCAACCAGTAGAGATGGACTATGAGGTCTTTTCAAGTTTGTTACGGTACTGTGATGGGCGTTTAGGATTTCAGTTGGAATGTTCCTCACAGACTCCTCCTGAACCATCAAGTGCATAAAGACATGGAGGGCTACAAAGAGGAATATACAGTAGTGATCATGCAAAAATATGACTCTTCCAGACAAGTCAAAGGTATTTCACTTGGAAGAATTTAAGAGTCTGTGAAGGAAGAAGTCATTTAAAGTTTGTAGTTTAAAGAATTTAGGGCCGGGCGGTGGTGGCACACACCTTTAATCCCAGCACTCGGGAGGCAGATGAGATCTCTGGGAGTTCGAGACCAGCCTGGTCTACAAGAGCTAGTTCTAGGACAGGCTCTAAAGCTACAGAGAAACCCTGTCTCGAAAAAAAAGAAAAGAATTCACCCCCCCACCTGCCCCTGGGCTGGAGGCAGGGGAGGACACACAAGATTGCAACATAACCCAGGTAGGCCTTGAATTCACATGTAGGTCAGGTTGGCCTCAACTCTTAGCAATCCTCCTGCCTCAGCTTTCTAATTGCTAAGAGTGTAGGTGTGAATCACTATGACTGATCAAAACTCAATTTATAACAGAATCAAGCTATTAAAGTCGGGGTGGGGAGAGGGAGCTCAATGTGGTAGCTCATGCCTATAATACAACCCCTCAGGAAGTGGAGGTAGGAGGATAAGGGGCTCAGGGTTATCTCAACTACACAGTGGGTTCAAGGCCAGTCTGGGCTACAAAAACCCTATCAAAACAAAACAAGAGCTGGGAAGATAGCTTAGTAGGCAAAGTGCTTGCTGTACCAACATATGAACTTGAGTCTGGATTCCCAGAACCCATAAAAAGCCCGGCAGGATGGTGCAAGTCTGTAATCCTCATGTTCCGATAAGGAAGGTCTCAAACAAGGTGGAAGTGAAGGCAGACAGCCAAGGTGTTGTGTACACACACACACACACACACCCTGGAAACACCATCCATTTTCAGGAATCTTGCAACTAGTCCTCCTAGATCACACCACACCACACAGCACCCAGACTTGCAGTTGCCTGCTTCTATTTCCTACAGTGTAACCTCGTTTAGCTCATCTGAGAGTGGCAGGTCTACTTTTCTGGACACCTTCAATCCTTCTTGGGGCAAGAGGGGGCTCTAGATGAAGCAGCTACTGTAGAGGTTCATGGTGCCTGACGTCTGAGTGAGGAAAATATTCCTCTCCTTTCAGCTAAACTTACCCCGTTCCCTCTTCTAGAGACCCACATGGACTAGACACTCTCTTGATGAACTGCAAATACTCAGGTAGGCAGACACTGGGGTGGGCCCAGCCTTCCCTACTCTGGGTTCCATCTCTGTCATGTCACCATGGTCATAACCCTGAAATCCACCTGTCTGCTGACTTTCATCGTGGAAACCAAATTTACAACACTGTTTCCTCACAACTGACAGGTGGCAGCAGCAAATGAGAAACATACCTCTCACCTAACCCATACTGGGGCCTGTGGAACTGTCCTTTAGCTACAGAATATTGGGAGATGGCTTAAAAATGGCCATAGATGAACAAAATAGGACACTATGGTGCAGTTTCTCTCATGAAAAGTTACCATCTGAAGAGAGCTCAGATCTGTTGGTGCACAGAGCTAAATGGGAGCAGAAGCGGGAAGTCTGCTGACCTGAGACACAGGACCCAGGGAGGCAAATGGGAAGGGCATCCCCTTGGGAAGAGGGCTCCTATAGCTGAGAGGTAAGTCATGGGGTTACAGAGAAGGTAGACAAGGCCCTACCCTGAGTGTGAGAGACAGAGGGGGAGCGTCCGATCAGCGGCCGCTGCTGTTCACTAGGCCATGAAACTCCTCCCAGGCCCTGGTAAACCAGAGACAAAAAAACAACAGCACATTCAGGTCAGACGCTTTGAACAGAGAGCAGACACCATCAGCCCACCTCCCACTTCGACACCCTCCATGCTGACTGGAAACACAGGGAGCTGGGTAGAGTGGTGAGGTCTCAGCAGCTTTCTTCTTAGACCGACAGGCAGCTGGCATTTTTGGCTTGCTTTCCTTAGGAAGTCTAGCCTTCACTACCCCCTTGAGGACTTGCCAGTGTTCCTTCAACAGGGTCAAAGGGGGGCCACTGAGGTCAGAGTTGAAGCTCAGCCATGCCCACAAACACGTCCATCTTGCTTCAGCAAGGGCACCCGTCCCTGCCTTTGCTGCACTGGGTCCAGGAAACAGGTAGTGGAAGCCATGTTTCTTCATTGGGCCTGACCCTGAGGGTAAAGCCAGGGATCCACCAGCATTATCACTAAAGACGCAATCCAGTTATAGATCATGTTCGCTGTTTTCACCTTTCTAACCTAACCTTCTAAACTTGAGATGCTAAATATGTCAGAGTCTATCTGATTCTGAAAACACCCATGTAAATCCTATCTTTAGAATTAAGATGTGTGGGTCATTGCAGCTAACATTTCCAGTTAACACAGCCCATTACAACCGCATGCCGATTAACACATTTTGGTGAACATAATTTAGAAATGTGATTAGGAAGGAATTAGAAGTGGGAATGGAGGGGCACACACTCAGCTCACAGCACAGCCAGTATTCCACAAACAGGTCGCCAGGCGCTGCTGCACGAAAAAGGAGACTTCAGATCCCCCAGTGTTCTGGGATCTCTCCCCACCCCATTTTCTCGCATTTTTGTCCTACCCACTTTTCAGTTTGAAAGCAGTGATTGTCCTAGGCACTATATATCACACTCAATGCCAGTCTAGAGTTTGCTAATGTAGACCACACTGGCCTCAAACTCAAGAACTCTGCCTCCTCTACCCCCCTATTGCTGGGATTAAAGGCTGTACTACCAGCCCAGGCAACTATTTCATTACCAGGCACTATAGGCAGTTTTTCTTTATTAAAAAAAAAAAAAAAAAGGAATGGTGACCTGGGTAAAGTGGGACACACCTTTAATCTCAGTACTTGGGAAACAGGATGGTGGATCTCTGTAGAGTCTTGAGGTCAGCTGGTCTATATAGTAAATTCCAGGATGACCAGGGCTACATTGTAAGATCACGTCTCAAAACTAAGTAAAGTTATTAAGGACTACGTAATGTCTGTCCCAGTTTCTTCAGTATTTTCCCTCTGCAAAATAGCAGTATTTGTTTTCCCCCAGAATATTATCAAAGCTACTAGTTTATGAGAACTTACTCAAAGGGAAATCTAAGGCTATTTAGGAAGCATGCCAGAACTTGTCAGCTCCAAGCTTTGTGGAGACAGTGATGAGTTGTACTCTGGGTTCCTAAGGGACACTGGAGAGCTCCACTACGAGTGAAAACTCAATGCTTGGACAGTGACCTGGGAACTTCTCTAACAGCAAGATTTAACTTCCACTGTAAGTAACTTAGAGGTCAGCAGGGAATTACAGAGCACGATTGAAGTCCATCACATTTTTTCTTTTGTTTCCAGAAGGCTCCATCCTTACTACATCTGCCTAACAACAGATCACTGGGTGCAGATCTGGAGATCCTTCCAGTACACTCAATAAACTAAGCTCAGACATGGAGACTCTGGGTTTGGAAACTTCCTTGCATGGACTCAGGAGAAATATAACACTTGGTGTACTTACTCTTACTCTCATAGGCCAACCAGATGGGACTTTCTAGTTACTTTCCCTTCCCTTGGCATCCCAAGTACATTAGGTAACATCAAAACTTCCTTCTTTAAAGTTATCCTAGTCACGTGGGAGACCGGGGTTCGATTCCCTGATGGGGAGCCAAAAATAAATAAATAAATAAATAAATAAATAAATAAATAAATAAATAAATAAATTTATCCTAAAAATTGTTTTATGCTTTGAGCATCTAAAAACAAACCAGAGATTAATGCAGCCGACTGGGAATTCTTTTTTTTTTTTGGTTTTTCGAGACAGGGTTTCTCTGTGGTTTTGGAGTCTGTCCTGGAACTAGCTCTTGTAGACCAGGCTGGTCTCGAACTCACAGAGATCTGCCTGCCTCTGCCTCCCGAGTGCTGGGATTAAAGGCGTGTGCCACCATTGCCCGGCTCCGACTGGGAATTCTAAGCAGATCCAGTGACAGCAACTGATCCCATCTCACTTAGCAGAAAGCAAATTCTCAGAGGGACCTCATTTATGTGTAAGTCCATGCCTCCCTACCCCTGCCCAAAGCCTACAGGCACCACTGCCTTGTTCTCAGCCAGCCCTCAACATCTAGAAAGGGGTTCAGCCACCTGCTAAACTGGGCACAGGGTACAATGCAAGGCTAGGCAGCCATTAATCTAAAGTGGCCCACTACCACCAAGTTATGACTGAACTATGACAGAGTGAGTGCACTGGCCCTCATATGCATATTAAAGCCCAATGCTGAAATACAATGACAGCCAACCAAGTAAAGTAAGTCTCTACATTTGGCCTGTCTCTCTCCTTCTCTCTTATTCTGCAGAGAAATCCCATCAGTCTTCTCCAGCACTGTGCTCCATTATGGGAAGAAGGCCCTTTTGCGAATCCAGACCAGATGCACAAGAAATCAGTGAGGCAACTCCAAAGAGCAATTTTCTCACAAGACAATGCTGTGTTAACTACCTTTGAGTCAGCAGTACCCTGGTGGCCCCAGAATTCTGGTTGCTATGAATTTTCTCCTCAAATAGAGGATGGAGTAAGCCATTTGATGTGAGGACCCAAACCTATGAAAACGCAAATCTGCTTCATGACGAGGAGCCATGAGCTAGGCATGAACTGGGCACGGTGGCACACACCTCTAATCCCAGCACTCTGATGTGAGTTGGGGTCCAGTGTGGACGACATGGCAAGTTCTAGAGCGGTGACCTGGCATGAACACAAGTGAGTAAGCTCTGTCTTTCTTTGGAATAGTGAGCAGCACAAGGACCAAGCAAAGGAGCTTGTCTGTGGGGCAATGCTGCAGAAAACCACAGCAGGCAGGTGATCAGGGAAGGCTGGAAAGACACACAGGTGACAGACACTAGAAATTGGCTGAAACACAGAACAGACAGCTGGGGTAATGCTTGAGTGAGGAAGCTGAGCAACTCCTAAACACATGCCCTTCACTCTTAGCTGCCCTCATCTCCAGAGGACGTGGGAGACAGCCATTACTGCTGGTGTTCTCGAGTCTCAGCGGATGCTGGGAGCCACAAGGAAGAGACCAAGGCAGCCGTGCTGACACCTCCCCAGTGGCCGGCACCTGAAGGGGTCTCACCTCAGTCTGCTGCTGATAGGCACCAACTCTGGAAAGTGGCATCAAGTTTATTTGCTGGCACAGCTATAATGCACACGTACCCCACGGTGAAAGATAAGGTCAAAGGCCCAAGAAAGCCAGTGTTTGACATGTGCTCAACAGACGACAGGCTTTCTGCATCCCAGCAAATCTCCTTTTTCTAGATACGTCAATTTGGAGAATGTGATGAAGCAGCACTGGCAAGAACATTTCCAGAACACAGAGTCTAAGGTCTCACTGTGTGTTCTGTGGAATCCTGGGTCACACAAAGACCAGGATTAAGTCAGCCAGCTGGTATTAAGGAGTGTGCTGCTGATAGACTGGACGAGGCACTCTGGAAAACTCAACCTTGTAGTTACTTCCCACTCAAGCAACAAAAATGCTTTTTAATTTTTAGTTTTGGGGGTAGCCAACAAAGCTCGCTGAAACTCTCCATGCAGAGTAAGTCCTGAAAGCCAAGCTGCACACACACATAAGCAAAGCCATAGTACTCACAAGGCAAGTGTACATTCAGATTACCTCAGGGGTAAATTTCCCCAAGATGAAGGCACCTCTTACACTAGAACTGGCACAGTACCTCTGGGCTAGGAGGAGGAAGGAAGGGCTCTCACCAAGCAAGACTACCAAAGAGAAAGACAATCTACTCTGCAAGGAAAGGGAGGAGGCTGCCAAGCGGCTTTGGCACCAGAGAGAATACCCCATTAGCATAAAGCAAAAAAGTATGTATGTACAGCCACAGACAGACAGAAGCAGGGCTTTAGCTCCAAGCAAGAGATTTCTATGAACTAAAAGCAAATGGAAATTAGCAAAGAAAAGTCAAGAATACCTCTTCTCCAACCTTAAGAGACTTTCAAGCTGGACCTGAACTCAGCTGCTACTCTGGGCCAGCCATCGGTCTAACTGGATGGAAACTAATACACTTGAGCACCAGGCAGTCGGGGCTTACTTTGTTAGATGTCATCTCCTTATGTCACACCGCAAGAGTCCAAGAATAAAGTACCATATGATTACACAATAGGCTTGTGGATTCCCTGAATGGCCCTGCATGGAGAAGTCTGTGTGCCATCCCTTGGTAATGGTGACAGTCAATCCAAAGGCCACATCTTGATGCACCATAAAGAGCAAGAGCATGAGACAAGCTGGTTTAGCACCATTTATTTGTGATCTCAGCTGTTGTTGGAGCTGCTGCTGTCAGCCTGTTCTCAAAGCATAACATGCTCTTCCGTTCCTCTTGTCCAGGACAGAAGGGTCTTCCAGGTGGCACGCCAACAGAACAAGAGACTCCGATGACGCCAGCTTCAATGATGGTGCCAGAGAGGGAGAGTGTCATGGCACATTCAATCGCGGCTTCCAGAGGTTTTGAAAAAGGAGCCTTTGGGGGCCCAGCCTGCCTGGCATTCTAGTGGAAGTGCAAAAGGTAGCTCATTGGGAGAGGAAAGAGAATGGGGAGCAAGGGAAAGTGACATCTGGGTCTTGAGGAGGGTGTTATAGCTGCAGGGCAGGAGTCCCAGAGGCTCTAAGTCCTGGAAGGACTTGTTCATGGGATTTTATAAGTCAAGATGAACTGCCTCCAGGTATCAGAAAGGGAGAACAGTGGGGAGTGAATGGAACGACTTTTCCCTTTCCTAACCAGGTTAAAAGGGAACCTAGCAAACAAGAATCCTAGGGAAAGATGCAGACCTTTAGAGCTTGGACTAAACCTGGCAGGAGGGCAGACACTAGTCTATCCTGCAGCAGAGAGTAAGACAGACCTACTCTAAGAAAAATAGCAGTGATACAGGATTGCTGAGACAAGCAACCAGGTCCATGGGAAATGAGTGCTGGTCGCTCCAGTGAGTCAGAGCTAGCCATCGGATATCAGACCAATTCCCATGGCAGTACTCCCAGTTAAAAACTGGCACCTAGCTGGTAGAAGCAAACTCCACCCACAACATCATATGTGAACGCATGGGAAAGAGTCTCACATAGTATTCCTGCTGAACACAACTACTGGCTCACTATTAATTTTGAACAGGAACGGCATGATTATGACATTGTACTAATGATGACAGCAATAATACTTGGCCCTGTAAGAGCTTTCTTGCTCTAAGGACCCTTAGTTATAAAGATTAAACCAGCCTTACCACGCCTTACTATTTATTCCTGTATTCTTATCTTATAGCTGGAGAAACTGAAACAGAGAGGTAGAGACTTGCCAAAGGCACATACTGACTCAGGGCCACAGGAGACAATAAACATAAAGAGACCTGACTCCTGGCTGGCTTTCCATCCTCCTTTGAGACAATCTGTCAGCCACTTCCCTAACCTATTTATAATGACCTGAGTTTATCTCTGTCACTAACCCTGAAGGAGCAAGCCCTTACCAGTGATTCTCAAAGTAGACAACACCTATTGTCTTCTTTGTCCTGTGACTCTACCTTCCTTCCTTCCGTTCTCCTCGCTCATAATCTACCCTACTTCCTCTAGACTTGAGTTCTAAACATAGAAAGTGGAGTCACCATCCCTGATAAGAAGTCAATCTCCCAAGACAAAGAAAACAGACTAAAGCTAACAGGTTAAACAGACATGCAAAGGTGGGGTCAGGGTGGGCAGGGAAGAGGAGTTTATTATTCAATCAAATTGTCTTCAAAAACAGCCATTAAAAAAAACCCGAACCTCTGAAAGAGCTTTGTCTTTCATTTTAAAATAGTGATTAGCATAGGAAAGATAAGACAGCCTGTAAAAATGAAGCCAGCCCAGGCAGGAAAACTGGGGTTCTGCTTCACAACCCCTCACAGTAGGTCCTTGGAGCCTCACTAACAAGAACTTCAGCAAGTGGCCAAAGCCCTACTCCACAAGTCAGTGTCATGTATGACCACATGTGTCTGGGCCCAACTATGGAGCTACTTCTGCTAAGCTCAGGGACCTATTCCCCCCAAACCCCCCAACACGTACTTGATGCTGTCGGTGTGAGTTTTGTATTCCATAATGGTGTTGGGAGGTAGGTTAAGCACGCGCCGAAGAGTATCCCGGATTCGGGCTGTGGTTGCTTGGTCGCTGGCGGTCTTATTCCATATAGAAATAATGTCCTCCTAAGGGAGGAACAGAATGAATTATCAAACCACCAGAAGCAGCAATGAGAGTAGCAGTGGCGACACAAGAAAGAACACAGGCCTGGGCTGACTTACCTGAAAGCGGACAGAGACCACAGCCCCGCAGATCTCCTCCCCAACCATGAATTGCTCCCCCAACATGGCCAGGATTAGATTTTCCCAGCAGCGAGATGCTAAGCCCTTCCGAAGTCGAATAATCCACTTGCCACCATTTTTATTTGCATCATCCTATAGAATGAGAGAAAGCAGAGGTGAATACTGGTCCACAGTGTCATCTTTGAATACCAAAGGAACATCTCTGAAGACCAGGGCAGTCTGGTCACATTCTAATTCAACATTACTTTAATATCACTGAGAGACGAAATAGGAGGGAAAAAAGGCATCCTTGATCTAAATCATTTGAGAACAACTAACTAACTAACTAACTAACTAACTAACTAACTAACTATATCTTTTAAAAAGAATTCACTTTTGCCAGAACAATTATTTCAGGAACCCAAGTGAAATAATGTCCCGTTTTAAACACAGACCATAACCACCATTTGCTAAAAGCTCACTGTCATTAAGTATCAAGTACACAGACAAAAGTTCAGATCTTAACTCAGACACAATCTAGTAGAGGAGACAGACAACAAATTAACCACAGTCACACAGTCTAACGAGTCTTACTGTAATATGCACACATGACAGTGAGAGCATATGGCTAGAACCCTCAGAGGAAGCACATACACTGGTCGTGAGGAAACACTTAACATGTAAAGCAGGTGAAGGATGCTGAGGGCACTGGGAGGAATATGTCTCAGAGTCAGCGATATGTGAACAAGGGCTGACTGCAGGGAAGGAAAGATTTTGATATCTTCTAGAACATTTCTCCTCCCTAGAAAATGCTCTGGCACTAGAACATGTGTTGCCCAAGAGTGATCTCTGCAAAGAGATCAGAGCTCACCTCTGGGTCTGCTGTTACCAGCTTTTTCTTACCTCTTTAATCTTCTACCTACTAAGCACATACACATAGACACAAGTTCTATGGGAACAAGAACATTTTAAAAAGCTTTTTACCCCTGTAACAGCACCATTTAAGTGACAGAGCCTATGATGGTCTCAGGAGCCTATGATGGTCCCAGAGGCTCATATATTTGAATTCATAGTCAACAGGGAGTGGCACTTTTGGAAAGAATTAGGATTAAGAAGTGTGGCTTTGTTAAAGTAAGTGTGTTTCAGGGGTCGGGGGGTGGATGTTGGGGTTTCAAAAGCCCACGCCAAACCCAGTGTCTCAGTCTCTCTCTCTCCCCCTCCCTCCCTATGGATCAGGATATTCAGCTACTGTTCCCCAGTGACTGCATGCCATCATGGTCTCCGCCACTATAATGCACTAAACCTCTGAAGCTGTAAGCAAGCCCCAACGAAATGCTTTGTCTTGTAACAGTTGCTTTGGTTATGATGTCTCTTACAGCAATACAATAGTAACTAAACTAGCACCATCTTTAAAGTCATCTTGCAGCCACAACCCAAGAATACATGCAATTGCATCAATGCCTTTTCCTAGAGGTACAGACTTCCAAAATTTATCAAATAAGGTCACAGCTTCAAGAGAAAACTTCAAAATGGTTTTCATTTTGGTAGGGCTTAAATTAGAAGAAGAAAAGAAAAAAAATCTGCTTTCAAAAGTCCTCACCTCCCACATAGGTTTAATTCCTTCTTTGAAGAGATGAAAGTCACTGTGGCCTGTCAGGTCCCCAGGACGTACCATGTGGCTGTAAAACTTCCAGAACTGCTCCACCTGCAGAAAGAAGAGCCAAGGTACAAGAACTTTTTCTCTTCTTTGCATGAACACAAAGCTGTGTTACTGAAGAAGAGAAACATGGGAGACACTGCCCCAGCTATCTCCTCTGGGGGGCACACTTCATTTGGAGTAGGGTAGAAAAAAGTCTATCATATACTGTATTTGGTTTGAGACATGGTTTCTTATTTAAGAAACTATGTCTGGCTAATACAGTTTAATCAAAGGAAAAACAAAAGAAAAAGAAAACAAAAATACAACATACAACACTTTGAAGATAAACTCTGGGGATGGAGAGCTGGCTCAGGGTCAAGTTCACTTGTTGACCTTCCAGAGCACCCAGATTCAATTCCTAGTACTCACAGGGCAGCTCTCAACCACCTGTGATTCACAGTCCCAGGGGATCCAATACCCTCTTCAGACTTCTTTGGGTATTGCACATATGTATTGCATAGATATACATTCAGCCAAACACTAAACTAATACAGATAAAATAAACCTAAAATCTAAAAACAACAATAAAAAACCTTGGTGAAAAATGCTGGTCTCAGCTAGCAGCAAGTCGCATCGACATACCTCCTGCCACCATGCAGTAACAAAACCAGCTTTTTGAACAACTGAAACCCTTCTGTATAAGGTAAGTCAATTACCACAGGGCTGCACTTGCCTACACTCATAGAGCCAAATCTTACTTTTTTCTTTTTCTTTAAACAGAGTCTTTCACTGCAGCCTAAACTGGCCTAGGGCTAGGGTTTCTATTCCTCCTCTCAGCTTGAAAGATTTTTTTTCTCCCTGATTTACCTTAAACTTCTGAAGAAAACTAGATTTCTATTTTTCTTTCAAATATATTTATGCACTTGTAATTCACCAGTATCCAGGAGTTAGGCGTTTGGGATCATCCAGATGAAACTATATAGTGAGACACTGCCTCAAAAACAAACAAACAAAAGGGCTGGTGCTCAGTGGTTCATTTCACGGCATCCACATTAGGTGGCTTACAACTGCCTATAAATACAACACCAGGGATCTGATGCTCTCTTCTGTAGACACTCAGCAGGCATACACACACACACACACACACACACACACACACACACACACACACAATTTACAAACAGTTAACAACAACAAAAAACCCAAATCACTTATACTCATCATTCTGGTCCCCTGTGATCTACAGAGGCCACCTGTAGGCACTAGCAGTAAGGAGGCACTTTAGGAAGTGGAGACATAGACAGTTACTACTAGTAACTATCAAGACCACACTCAAGAAATTGTGTAGCAGGAAACAGGTACTGGCAAAAATTCAAGCCCCTGTTAAATCTAGATAGCAAGAGAAACTGACTTATCACATGAAACAGTTGTTTTCTCCAGCTGCCTTCCAGAATAGAACATGTGAAATGTCTTCTATATTTCAAAGTCAGAAACTAATGCCATCTACAGGATTTTAAAGCAATACTTCATCTCTGCAACTGCTAGGTCTATCTGTACATACAGTAATCTGGAATATTAAGTGGTCATACACATATAGTGAGCACTAATCTAAGCTTTTACCCACCCTAACAATTGAAAAAACTAAGTAAGCTCATGAGAACCAAGGCTTACTGTGAACTAGGAATGGAAGGATGTGGTGGGGACAAAATATATTAATTTCTTAGGCAAGAATCATTTGATGGTTAGGTCTTCAGATCTTACAGACAAAATACACAAACTTGTATCCAAGCCAAGAGAGATAAAATAAAAAAGCTTAAGAAATAGCATTAAGGGGCTAGAGAGAGATCTCAGTAGTTAAAAGCATACACTGCTCTTCCTAAGGAGCTGATCCGATTCCCAGCACTCACATCAAGTGGCTTATTATAAGTGCTTATAACACCAGATCTGATACCTCTGAATTCTGTCTGTGGGCACCTGCATCCATGTGCACATACTCCCATAAATAAAATAATAAAAAGAAATAGCATTAAACTTTGAAAGATGCCTTTTTTAAAAAAAAAAAAGATTTTTATTTATTTATTGTTTTTTTGAGACAGGGTCTCTCTGTATAACAGCTCTGGCTGTCCTGGAATTCGCTTTGTAAATCAGGTTGGTCTTGAATTCACGCCTGCCTCTGCCTCCTGAGTGCTGGGATTAAAGGCGTGTACCACCACCATCACTTGGCTAAGATTTTTATTTTTAATTATGTGCTTGTGTGTGTCTGTATGTGTCTGTGTACATGCCCTCAAGCTGGGAGCTGGCATTACAGGAAGTAGTGAGCTATCTGACAAGGGTGCTGGGAATGTGGCTTACAGCTGCCATTCCTCAGGAAGCTGAGCAAAAGAATCACAAGTTCCAAACCAGACTAAGGTCTAGCAAGACCCTGTCTCAAAACAAACAAAATCACAACTTGTGCTGGTGCCTGGCTCTGTGATAGGTGGATTCCTACCTTCTCAAATGTCTGATGAGAAAAGGAGCTGCAACGACTCCTAGAGGTCTTTTCTGAGTCACTGAGTAGTATTTTTGGCTTGAAGTGGAACTTTTGAAAAGCCATCTTTTTGGGCTGGAGAGATGACTCAGTGATTACGAGTATTTGCTGTGCTTCCAAATGACTAGTTTGACTCCCAGCACCCACAATAGGAGGCTCATAACCACCTGTAACTCCAGTTCTACTGAATCCAATGCCCTCTGAGGATGCTTACAAGTATGTATGCATATATACACATACACGTCAACAACACTAAAAAAAAATAACCTTTAGGCCAGATGTGGTGGCAGAAGCAATAAGATCTTGGTGAGTTCAAGGCCAGGCTGGTCTACATAGTAACTTCTAAGTCAGCATAGTTAGACTCTGTCTCAGGAAGAAAGGGAGGTGGGGAGGGAAGGAGAGGAAATGGGGGGGGGGGCAAAAAAAACCCCAAAACCAACCAATCAAACAACACCGGAGCTACTGCTTTGGATTTGAAAAAGGATTCATTATCATTACTTCTCTGGGAGGGATTATTACCATAGGCCATTTCTTTCTTTTAGGTTTTTCATTGGGACAGGGTTTCTTTGTGTATCCCTGGCTGTTCTGGAGATTGCTTTGTACGCGTGGTTGGCCTCCAACTCAGGGATTCAATTGCCTCCGCCTCATGAGTGCTGGGATTAAAGACATGTGCCACCATGCCTGGCTACAAACCATTTCCTAAGGCCGTGGATTATGACAGCAGACTTTAGGCTGTATTATTTGTCCAGTGCATACTGAGGGTATTGATGGCAAAACTCTTAAAATCACAAGGAAAGAAAATAAAAACAAAATCTGCTTGTTTCCTTGGGGTAAACTCACATTTCTTTTTTTACATTTTTTTCTATATAGGAGAGAAAAATGCAAGACATAATTACAGTTATTCCAAACTAATTTAACAGAACCCCGAATGAAAACGTTTTTCCCAGTTCTTTCTCTGATCCTCCTGTTTAATCAATTGTTCCTAACATAGCAGCTGTCACAGTACATGGAAACTAGTCTAACATTCCCACATAACAGATAATCAAAACTTCTCTGATGGCTTCTGTGTTAGAAATAAATGGATAAACTGGATGTGGCAGTTCACATCTGTAATCCTAGAACTTGAGACAGGGCTGTGGCAAGCTCCATGTCAGCTGGGTTACACAGCAAGACCCACGCTCAGAAAACCGATTCTGCACACAGACTGAACATAGGGGTGCAGGAGAATCTCTGTTGAACAGGACACACTGGTATTAGTTGTATGTAGTTAAGGTCTCTGAACTTACAGATGTAGTAAAGAGCCAGGAGCAAAGGTAAGGGTGGGCTGGGGTGAGAAGGAGCCCGAGCACTCTGTAGTGATGGCATCCACAAATTTAACAGAATTTAATTTCATGAGGGCAGATACCATATACAATGAAGCTGTGTCTCTCCTATAACAACTCTGTATATAAGGACTCAATAAATACCTGCTCAAATAAGGGACTTCAAAATAAACACCCCCCTTTCTTTTTTATTATTTTGCATTATGCCTTTCTGATCAAAGCAACCATTCTCATATTTAGATTATCTAAATGTTACCTGTGGATACTAAAGATAAACCTAAGAACTGAACAAACAGGATCTTAGGAGTGCAAGCCAGTCTAGTAAGGAAACCAGAATGTTTAACAGGTTACTAAGCTAGTAGACAGTGACAGAAGCGCAGGGACAAGTGCCATGCCAATGGACAGTCCACTGGACTAAGTACTCACCGAGGCAAAGGTACCAATCTGCTTGATGTTCTGCTCATAGCTCTGTGAGCTGGTGGGACGGCCGGGGGTTCTCCTAGAGTACCAGAAGGTGTAGTTGTACTGCAGGGGATGTTCTGCTGGTCCAGGGACAACAGCCTGGGAAGTCCAGAAGGTAAGTTAATTCATGGCATTTGTCACAAGGACATGAGTCCAAACATTTACTGTATTGCCCTTTTTATAAGATTTAGTTTTTTTGTTTTGTGTGTGTGTACACATGCACATGCGCGTGCATGCACGTGGATTGCTTGTGGAGGCCAGGAAAGAGCTTGTAATTATTTGGCATGGGTGCTGAGAATCAAACGCTGGTCTTCTGTAAGAATGGCAAGTGCTCCTAACTACTAAATCATCTCTTCAGCACCTTGTTTTCTAAATTATGATTATTTTTCTTATCATGTATACGTGTGAAAGACTAAACGTGGGAGTATGCATGCCATGGTGTGTCTGGAGGTCAGAGAACAATTTTCAGAGTTGGTTCTTTCCTTCTCTCTGTGAGATCCAAGGACTGAACTCAGATCACCAGGCTTGAAGCTGAAGAGCCATTTCTCTGATCCTTAATAAACATGTTACAGTGTTACACTGACTAGACATGGTGTTACAGATCTTTAATTCCAGCACTGGGAGGCAGAGGCAGACAGATCTGTGAATTTGAGGCCACTCAGGTCTTTTACTCCCTAAGTTCTCTCTATCCCAAGTCACTTTTTAATGTGTACTACTGCTGACCGAGGAGTCTAAAATAGCAATGTGTAGGATTGAATTACTAAGCGGCCTTTAAAGAAGCACCAGTTGAGAACCTTGACTCCCCCATCTCACATGAGAATACTGTAAAGCAACTCCAAGACCCACAATAGAGAAAGTTCTAAGTTCCAAAATTAACTCTATAGTCATTTCACTATTTAAATTTTTTAAAACTTGTAATTCTAACTGCATACTAAGGATTCACTGTGACATTTCCATATATGCATCCACCAGGCTCTGGTCACACCTAGTGACCCATGCACTCTTTGCTACCCTCTTCTGTCCTCTCTATACCTTTCCCCTTGTGTTCAGTGCTAAGAATTGAACCCCCAAGTCTCACGATCATTTCGTGTCTCTGTAAGTATACTTGTGGTCACGAGAGTATGCACATGTATGTGCATATGCACAAGAGCACATGGAGGAGGGAGTCTCTCCAGCTCCCTTGACCTTTTATTTTTAGAACAAATCAAAGGTCCCAAGAGTACCCGCCATCAAGTTCCTCTGCCATCTTTAGATACAAACTCCAGGAGACAACCAAGGCTTATAGCTAAAGGTAACTACACCTGAATTACAGCCCAAAACATACCTTCCTCTTGCCGCTGCTCTGGTTCTTATCTCGTTCTGTTTTTTCCTTCTCACCATCTTTCTGTGTGCTGTTTTCTTCATTCTGATCGTGGTCTCCACCGTCATCATCTTTTAAGCTAAGTGGAAAAGCAAATTAATGTCATTCCATCACTAAACTATTCTTGTTACCTAACAAAACTTTAAGGCCACAGAACTACCATGTAACTAGTCCAAAGTCACTCAAATCATAGGCCTATGAGATGTATCTGTGAAAAGGGCAAAAGGGGAGGACTAAGCAATAACTACCATTAAATTAGCTAACCTGTGATCCCCAACCATCAACCATCAGTCTTTCCGTTTCCCATCAGCAGCATAACAAAGCAGTTAAAAGGGTGGTTTTTGTTGTCAAGAATAAGTCAGTAATGAGAATTTCTGGGCAAATAATTCCTTTGACATCTGAAAGTTAAAAACTTGCCCATCTACATATATTGCTCATTCTCTCCTTCCCACCTCTCTCCTAAGTCTTAGGTCTATTTTCTTCTCCAGTCATTTAATTAATTATTAATTTCTAAATGGGACCAACACAAATCTTTCCTCTGTTTTCTAAATGTGACTCTGTTATTTAACCTGTATTCGTAAGACTCTCAATTGTCAGCTTCTATTACCTATCCTCTAGAATAAAGTACAACACCAAGTTTTTCAGAAGACTTTAGAAGCTGAGTCATGTCAGTGCCATAGTCCTCTCCTCCCCAGCAAGCTTTCTCTATGACAAACACCTTGCCTCCAACTCAAGGAGCCATTTCCTCCCTGACTGTTTCTTTCTCAAGATCTATTTATTTGTGTGTTTGAATGTTCTGTCTCCATGCACACCAGAAGAGGGCATCAGATCCCATTACAGATGGTTGTGAGCCACCATATGGTTGCTGGGAAGTAAGCTCAGGATCTCTGGAAGAGCAGCTAGTGCTCCTAACCACTGAGTCATCTCTCTAGCCTGAGTAAAAGGGTTTCTTCAGAGTAGTATCACTGGCACTCAAAACAAGATGACACTGACTAAAGGTTAAATTAAAAAAAGGAGGAATGGAAGTGTTCTTGTCTCAAAAGTTGAGTTAAATGTGAAAACACCTAAGACCCACCAGATGCAGTCAAAATCAAACAGGTTAGGGCAAAGATAGGAGCACCATTTGCTTAATTTGGTATGATAGCTCAGTAGATAAGGACACCTGCAGACCTGAGTTCAATCCCTGTAACCTATATCCTGGAATGAGAACCTACTCCTGCTAAGTTGTCCTCTGACTTTTATACATATACTTAAAAAAAAAAGGGGTGGGGGAGAAAAAAATAGAACTTATAGCTGGGCGATGGTGGCACATGCCCTTAATCTCAGCACTTGGGAGGCAGATGCAGGTAGATCTTTGTGTTCAAGGCCAGCCTGGACTACAGAGTGAGTTCCAGGACAGCTGCAGAGGAACCCTGTCTCAAAAACAAAAACAAAAAAACTCACAAAACACAAAAACAAAACACGAAGAGAATAGCATTCACTCTAGAATTAGACCCTTCACCCATCTGTTTTCTCCTGGATCACTTCTGGGCTCTATGACAGTATATACACATAAACAGAATCGGGTATTTTCAAGACAGTTACCAGAAGCTCAGATATCATCCTACACAGAGACATAAACATGGTGTACAGCACTGTACATTTGGAAAGTGGTAGGGTTTTTGTCTATAAAATCTTTAATAATCGACACATAAAATTCACCAATAAATAGTAGGATGGATGAGCTAGCTATGTTGGGGTGCCTGCTCTGCCCATGTGGCAGCCATATTGTAGGGGATACTCAGGTAGCCACTCCCTGTGATGCAGACTCCCTATTCCCACTCTGGTCAAGACCCAACTAGGTAAGGCATAGGAGCAAAAGGCAGTTCAGTCTGCCTAATAACCTATTCCTCTCTACACTGATTTTATCAAGGAGAGCAAAGACCAAGGATTTAGACACTGAGGCAGCTATAGGGTCCATGAAAGAAGCAAGACTTAGAGCAGTTCGAGAAAGGGAATGGAGAAGGGAACTGATGAGCACGGCCATCAGAAGCACCATCAGTGCTCATGAACTTCCTTTCTTGAGTAAACTTGTATTGTTTAGCTTCCTTTTCAAAATGAGCCTGACATGGACAAAGGTCCGTGGATTAAAAATTACCAACATTAACCAAGTATCTCACTAGCTACCAGAGTGCCTGTCCTCCAAGAACTGTGGAGATAAGGCATACAAAGCCTTAACCTGCTGCAAAGGCCCATTCTGTTTCCATGTCCCAAAGCATCTTCTGCTTGTTACCAATGAACCCCTTCCACTCCTGCTGTGTCCCCCTAAGTGCAGTTCCCTAATCTCTGCCCACCCTACCATGTTTGGCATATAGTCATGCCTCTACTGCTGGTTTACTGCCTTTCAGGACTCACTTTCAGGACAACATTCCCTACTTTCTCCCAATATAGGCTAAATCAAATCAAACTCCCCAGTTTTGCTCTTAATACAAACATATTTGTCTTAGCTGTACTGTCAAGGCCAATCAAGAACAACTCTTCTGTGGGCACACCCTAGAGATACGCACTTTTGTTTTCTTTTCTGCTGCTAATCTCTACTATAGCCTGAGGCTCCTTCATTAGGTTTTGGTTCAAGAAAGACAGTCACCTAGGATCTCCCATTTTTGCCAGCTCCAAGAAAAATGTTATGTTCTTTTCCTTTTTAGTGGTTTTCCTTCAGTCACTACTAGGAAACAGAAAACAAAAACAAGTCAGAGAAAAAGAACAATGCTATTATCATTCTAGGACTCCTTTCTAAGCCAGCAAATAGGAACCTTAATGGACTGACTTCATTTTGCGTCCTCATGCTCTGGCCTTTGTTTTAGTTTTGGTGAGGCTGGTAGTAGACCCCAGCACCTCCTTCATGGGAGGCAAGGGTTTCATTTCACCAATGAATGACAGAAACAGTCCCAGTACTTTTCTTTTTCGGTTTTATGAGATAGGATCTCTGTGTAGTCATGGCTGTCCTAGAGCTCACTATGTATACCAGGCTATCCTAGAGCTCACAGATATACATCTGCCTGCCCCTGAGTGCTGGGATCAAGGGTGTGGTGTTACACCACACCTGACCTGCTTCTATTTCTTGAAGAAGTTGTTAACTAAATAACCCACTCTCTGTGCCTACACCTAAGGCAAAAGTTTTACAACCAACTTTTCAGAAGCTGCTATTCCAGGCTTGAAGCTGGATTTGAGCCAAGGAACAGTCACACTGAAACAGCAGCACTCCACAGACTGCCCAATTTATGTCCAGACTAAGTGACAAGCTTCTGTTCAGGTATTTCCCAACACCTTCTGAACTAGGCTTAATTCTGTGCAGGTAAGAACTTGATCTAATTCTGCACTATACCTCTAGCATCAGACACAAACAAAACAAATATGTTGAATTAATAGATCTCCAAAATCAAAATGATATCAAATTGGGTGGTTTAGAAACACTTAACAGGCCAAAAGCTAACAACAGAAAGGGACTGTAAAAAATGGACCAAATCAAGCCTGGCATCTAAAAATGCAGGATCTGAAAACCAAGTTTATCATAGTTGGTACTATAATTCTTGAGAGAGCATTTTAGGGTTTTACACATTAATAACAAGAAAGGCAACTAGCCTGGTGGTGGCGGCACATTCCTTTAATCCCAGCACTCTGGAAGCAGAGGCAGGGGGATCTCTGTTGAGTTTGAGGCCAGCCTGGGAAATTTCAGGAAATGTAATAAATCATGCAGACTCCAGATATGAAACAATAGACTACAACCTGCAGGGTTTCACGTGAGAATCCGAAATGACAAAACCAAAACTAGGGGCAAGGGTATATGATCGCTAATTGCTAATTTCAAATGAAACCAAGCTTTTATTTTTTTCTGCAAGTTAGAAGGCAGATGTTAAAAAGACCCACTCCTTAAAATAGCTAATAGTTACATGTATTTAAAGCCACCCGGCAAAGTGTTGATCAAGGCACCATGAACAAAGCTGAGCTGGGCCTTTAGGCTATCTTGCACTAGTAACTTAGCCTTGAGGAGCCTAAGATCTTTTCTGCAGAGTTATCATAAAGAAGGCAGTGGGAAATAGAGGACAACATGACACATATAATAGGAAAGCAGAAGGGGGGAACCAACTAGATGGGGATCAGTTAGAGGAGAGAGACCATGGGGAGTACAGTAGGGGACAGGAAAGAATGAGAACAAAGTACTAATACATAAATATGAAGGAACCATAACAGAACCTGTTACTTTATGCTAACCTAAAAAAGCTTAAAAAAAAAAGGGTTAGAATGAAAATGGCCCCATTGGCTCACATATTTGAATGCTTTGTCACCTTGGAGGGGAACTGTCTGAAAGGATTACAAGGATTAGGAGGCATGGCCTTGTTGAAGGAGTCCTAAGGTGTCTTAAGACAGTGGCCATTGTAACCACCCTTATCTGAGACAAATGGCCCAAAAACTATTTTCTTGGGATGCAATTTGATTTGCTCAAATAAGAAAAGGAAGGATGGAAAGGCTGCAGATTGGAAGCTAGGAACTGCAGGACTTAGGATGGGAGGCCAAGAGGGTTGCTCTCCTGCTGGGCTCAGCAAAGCAGCAGGCTGGAGAAGACAACTGCTTTTCTCAGAAAGCGAGAGTTCCCTCAGCCACCATGAAGAGCTGCGAAGAGCTGCTTTGCCGGCTGGCATCCCAGTACTTCCTGCACACCAGAAACACTGCAGCTTCTCCACCTAAGGTGGTTCCACTTGACCCTCACACCTCGTTATCAGCATTTTACACAAGGACCTCTAAGCGTTGTAGAGTGTGCTCTGCTCTTTTCAGGTGGGTTCTAACCACTAGGGAACTTAGAGCAAGAGTTCAGAGTGGGGAACTTTTGTACTGGCAAAAACATTTGGTGGGCGCAGAGCTGAAAAAAATGTAGGCCTCTGAAAACATTAAACAAGGAGGGAGCGTTACAAAAAGGAGCACTACGGAAAGATACAATTCTTGTGAAATACTAATTTAAGTGCTGTTAAATGAAAGGAAAATTATTTTTAAATGCAAAAAGATATCATCATTAAGAGGGGAATGCTCCTCCCTAAACAGTTTTATATTTCTTCTCTGTACTTCCCAACTGTTCGGAGCTGGAATTAGGGATGAGAGTGGGGACTTGGAAAGAATGCAGCAGTGGGCAGCCCCCTAAGAGTTGGAAGATAGGAACTAGGGAGGGGGTGGGGCTGGGAGGAAGCAGAAAGGATCTCAGATGAAAAGCATTCCGTACTAGAGAGGCCACAGTACTCAGTGCGGCTGCCCCATTACCTCATCGCAGCTGCCCAACGCTACGACACGGGCTCTGTTACAGTCCCCGCTTGCAGAAGACAAAACCGAGGTTCAGAAGGGAGAGGTGACCTTCCCAGGACACGGAGCGAGTGCGGGTGGGAAGCCGCGTTCAGAGAGAAGGCAGCAAGGCTGCGGAAACAACCGAAGCGCCGAGGTCCCGCCCCTCCACGCCGCCGGCAGCCCGCACCCACCAGGGCGGGGCGTCCGAAAAAAAAATCTCCTTCCGGGCGGTGCGGCCTCCCCTCCCCTCCCCCGGCCCGCGCCGCGCCGGGGTCGGGCGGCTCAGGGGTCCCGGCGACCTTGGCCGCGCTCTCCCGGCCCCGTCGGGCCCGCGGGCGCAGGGAGGCTCGGGCCCCGGCGGCCCGGGAGCAAGCGGCTCGGCTGAGTGCGCGCCCGGCCCCGGCGGGAGCGGTCCCGGGGGACGGTTGGGGGAAGGGGCCCCGGGGGCGGCCACGCGTCACTCACGCGTCGAACTTGTTGTTCATCCTCTCGCCGCCGCTGTCGCCACTGCCTCACGGAGTGACTTCCGCTCTGCCCGGTCCCTTCGTCAAGGGCCCGGCTACTTCCGGTTGACGAGCCGCTTAGCGGAACGTTGGCGCGCAGGCTGGGTGCGGGGCCTCTTTCCCTGACGGGTGGCCTAGTCCCGGCGCAAGTCACGGTCCGGGTTGTCTCGGCGGACTCTCTCGCGGTCGCCTTCGTGTGGCGTGGAGTGCTGTCTACGCGGCCGGCCATCTGCTTTAACCTCCCGGTGGATTCCAGGGGAAATGTCAGCACAGTAACCCTTAGTAAATGGTGCCTAAATGTTCATCTCAGAGCTGATCCTTTGCCGTTGGTGTTTGTAGAAGACGAGAAAGTACCCCAAACAAATCCGTTATTCAGGCTCTTGGGAAGTGGGGGTAGGAATATCCAGACCAATCTGGACAGCATAGCGAGTTCGAGGCCAGCCTGGGATACATGAGACCCACCCTGCCTTGGGTTAAGTGAGGAAAAAGTCGCACCAGGGTGACAAAAGACATCTACCAAGAACCGAGATGGTCTCACTTATCAAGTTGCTTCCTCAATTGCAGTCTTTGCCCCCACACTCCTAACGAGTGAATAAATTAAATTCCCCAGTTGGTGATGGATCTCTAAAGCCACCAACTGTGCATCTTTCCTGATCCATTGGCTGAACATGTTCCATTGTTAGACGTGAGGAAAGGCAGAAATTGAAGTTTCTGTCTGTGTTTGCAGGTGAGAAAAGTCTCCCTGGACTGTTGCTCCCTGGTCACTCAGCAAGGTCACGTTCTTCTCCGCATTTGAACCTCAAGGGATCATCCTGTTTCCTGACTTGTACAAGGGAAACTTGGGAAGCTCTCCTGTGAGGCCCAGTTCAGGGGCTTTGGTCCTAGCCCTGCAAGTGCCCTGGATTTTGACAAGAGGGGGAAAGAAAAGTGCATTTGCAGTGCTAGGAATTTTCCTTAGAGTCTGCGATTGGGTCAGAGATGGGAATTTGGACCCTAAAGGAGTGTTCTAGGGAGTTCCTCTTATTCTGGACCCCAACTAGCTCATGAGAACTGTGGGTCAGGTGAGTCTCTTGCCTATCCATAATGTGAAGAATTTCTAACAATGGAAAAAGATGATAAAATGTAAGAACTCTTGTGATGAGTGGCGGGGGGTATTACATCAAATGGATAGGAAGGTGCTGCTGAAGCTGTCTGTATTTGAGGCTGTGGTACCCAGAAGACAGACAGGGAGCTGAAATCAGCTTCACTTTTGTGTTCTGAACCTCCAAAGAGCCAAGACTCCACACTTATCTACACCCCTATCTCCTAGCACTTTTTGTAAAAAAAAATTAATTTTCATTTTATGTATATGGGTGTTTTGCCTGCACATGTGTACATCTGTGTACCATGTATGTGTGTTTTGCAAAAACCAGAAGAGGGTGTTGGATCTTCTGGAACTGGAGTTACAGGTGGTTGTGACCCACCATGTAACTGGAAATTGAACCCAGATCCTCTGGAAAAATACCCAGTGTTCTTAACCACTGAGGTATCTCCACCCCTACCCTCCATCTCCTCCTCCTCTTCCTTCTTTTTTTTTGAGACAGAGTCTCACTCTGTAGCCCTGGCTGATTTCAAACTCATAAGAGATTGGCTTTCTCTGCCTCCCTAGTGCTTAGGATCAGAGGAAGTACCCCACCACACCCAGTGCTGCTGGTTCCCTCCTCCTCCTGTTCCTCCTCCTTCTCCTCTTTCTTCTCCTCCTCCTCTTCTTCTTGTGTGTGTTGAGACAGGGTCTCTCTGTGTGACAGCCCTGGCTGTCCTGGAACTCACTTTGTAGACCAGGCTGGCCTCGAACTCACTGAGATCCACTGGCCCCTGTCTTCCTAGTGCTGGGATTAAAGGCGTGTGCCACCACCCAGTACTGGTTCTCTTCTTTTAAGAGAGTTCCCACATCGTCTACCTCCTTCTTCCAGAGAAGATTCACAAAAGGGGAGATATTGGAGCTGGAGAGATGGCTTAGTGGTTAAGAACATCTTCTGCTTTTGTAGGGAACATGAGTTCAGTCCCCAGCACCCATTGTCTGGTTGTTCACTACCACCTACTACTCCAGCTCCAGGGTTCTGACACTCTTTGTTGGCCTCCAAAGGGCACCTTCACTTGTGCACACATAACCCACTCCCCGCACACACAGACATCTAGTTAAAAATAATACATCTTACAAAGAGGTAGGAGGAAATGTTCTCAGGCCTCAAAGGGTAAGACCTTACCCAGGCAAGGACAGAATGCAAAGCAGAGTCCTTAGGATTCCAAAGTGACTTGGAGTCAGTAATGCTCTGCCGAAGTGAGAGGGATGTAGGAAGTGGAGGACTGGTGACTGTAGGGGCCAGCCATTGCCACGTGGATGCCGGGCCCAAAGTCACGAACGGCCACACCCATCACCAGCCACTTCAGAACTCCCCCTCTCTCTTTATTTCTGTCTCTCCTCCCAGAGATGTTTGGGTACGTCCCAAGGAGCACACTCAAGATCCCAACCCAGAATACAGCTTCATAGACAGCATGGCCCATATATAACTGATTCCAGGGCCCAGGAGTGATTGGTTGACTCAGTCTGGCAAAGGCAAGTAGGGGCGAGGGTCTCCAGGGAATGGCAGGTCAGGCACCCGATTATAGTGGGCCATCAGGAAGATGCCAGCCGTGCCGCAGATGAAGAGAGAGAGCATGGCCAGGAAACAGACACGGTCCAGCACGCGGCCCACCAGGAACCACTCCTCATTCCCCTGAGGGCAACAACACACTGTGGGGTAGAGGTGTGACCAGGGGCAGCATCTAGCCTGGGTTCCATCTTTCACTGTTAGGTCCACAGCTGGCCTCCATTCCCTGCTCTTCAGCCTTCTCACCTCTGTCTATACCAACCTGTCCCCTTTCGTGGTATCCGTCCCATTGCTCACTCCCCCTCCCACTTCCAAGGTCTGCTTTTTTTGTCCCCAGAGCTAAGACACCCCATTCATCCTGTCCCCATGCTGCACTAGAGTACTCGCCCACTCTGCTCCAAGCTTACACTGTCAAAGTGACTCTGCTGGCGCCGGGCACGGGCCATGAGGTTACAGGCCTCCACGCAGGCCTGGATGGCTGGGGAGGCTTGCTTCAGGCTTCCACAGAACTCCTGGCTTTGCCTCATTTCTGGCCCATTTTCTGCTGGGAAAATAGTCAATGGGAGAGAGCTAGCAGGGCTGTGGGTTCTCCCCAGAGACCTGGCCCCCCTCTCTCCCACTTGAGCACTTGCTCAGCATTTATCTGCTGTGCCCAGCTCTGTCTTCATTAACTGGACAGGACTGTCCTCAGTGGCACCCCTTGGGCCTCACCTAGCTTTTCTAGTGCAGCTTGCACCAATCCATTGCGCTGCCTCTGTCTGAAGAGGAGTTCACTGCGTGGGAGATAGAGACCCCCTTCTTCTCGAGTTGTGATGGGCCACCCCGAGGAGGAGCCATTCTGGAGCCGCAACCGGGCATCCTGGACAGGAGCGGGGCCCCGTGGGCGCACATGCATCCGTAACAGCTGGGGCAGGAGCCTCAGGAACACCTGTAGAGGGTTTGTTCTGGTAGGCGCCCCCTTGGGCAGCCAGGGCAAGCTTGGTAATACAAGCAGGAGATGGGCATGAAGGTTGTACCTTAGGGGCAGCAACTGGGTCCTGGTCCAGTTTGACTACTTTCTCCTGGACACAGAACCAGTGCCCTGAGCTTTTGTGACTTTCAGAATCATTAGAGCATTTTTCTCGGACTCTAACTCTCTGCTCCCTGCTAGAATAGCCTAGGCTACTGGAACATACCTAGGGATTCTACATTTGCAACACGATTCTCAGCTTTCTGCTACAGGTGGGCTGCAGGGCACACAGACAGCTAGGACAGAACCCTCTTTCCTCTGCTCTCTGGGAATGGGTAATATTGGGTAAGCTGTCTAACCTCTCTGTGTCTCCGTTTTCCTATCTGTTTAATGGAGACGATACACCAATGCCCTCTTAAGGGATTTTATGAATGTTAAGGAAGTTAGTACCCATAATATATCCCTGGGCACTGATATCATTTGCCTGCTTTAGATGTGAAGATGTGTATGGCCTAGATTTGCTGCTGAATTAGAGAGTAGGGACAGGGGTGTGGAGCGAGTCATGTGTTATTGGGAAGGACAGATGGATGCCCAAGGGGACAGGGAAGTGCCTTGCCTTGCGGACCCCCCGGGCCATGGAGTGTGTGTGTGGGGACCTCAAGGACACGTTGAGTACCACCACTGAGTTCACGACGATGAGGATGGTCACCACCATGAGGAAGGTCAGGTACCTGTCCAGGGTCAGGCAAGCAGGAGGCTGGGTATCCGTTAGGCACCTCATACCCAGGTGCCACCCACCCTGCTTCCCTCGGGCCCCCTGGTAGAAGGTCATGACAAATGCCCCAGGAAGGGAAGGGGGTACTGGGGATGTAGCCCACTGCCAGAACACGTGCTTAGCAAGGCTCCACCCCCTGCACAGGTGCTGAGGAGTGGGAGACAGGTGTGAGGACTAGCCTTACTTGCTGATGAGCGGCACTGCCTGGGAGGTCTCAGGCACCTTCTTGGCCACGAGGAAAAGGAAGACGGTCTGGGCCAGGAGCACGTTGATGGCCACTGTGCATTTCTGGCCGCCCGCTGCCCATGACCAAGATGACCTCAGAGCAGGTCCCCCTCACACCCCCTGAGGAACTCCCTTACCCTACAGGGAGCCCACTACTCTTGTCCTAGGATTATGGTGCCACCCTATGCCATGACCAGTCAGGCCTGGGCTTCCCCCTCCCACAGGCCCAGGTACCCTTGGCAGGAAGGAAGTAGATGAGGATAGCAACGGAGGAGATGAGCACGCAGGGGGCGATGATGTTGATGACGTAGAAGAGGGGCTTGCGCTGGATGAGCAGGTAGAAAACCACTTTTTGGTGGCCTGCCTCCTCTGCTGGC